AACCGTTCAATTTACGATTCTTGTGGCAGAATCGGAATATAAGGCACTTTTAGCTAGAAGTATCAAAAAGGCGTTATCCAATACAATTCGAAATAGGAGCGGGAATTTCTTGCCAGAAACATTAATGCGGGAAGACCACCTGTGCGGGATGGCGGTATATTTGAAACATGATAAAAATGCAAACAGGAAGCAATGTTTCATTATTTTAACTATTTTTGGGTTCGAAAAATTTCAAATTTAAAGTGAAGAGAACAAATTGAACAGCAAAAACAGTCAAGAGCAACAAGCGAAGGGGTTCACAAGCAAAATCTGATGAAATTTTTATGGGATTTGAGGAGCTGCTAAATCCATCGGGTGAAAAATTTGGTGTGAATGATGATAACAATATACCGCAGCGCGAAATTAGCAGCCATAATACGTCAACAGATTTGAGAGAGTTTCTGAAGTGTCAAACGAGGAATCTTCTCGAGCAAATGTTTCATCAGTAGATTATGTGGCAATTGCCGGAATTTCGCGTAGCACAAATTCGACAACGACGGCCACAGTACAACCTCAACAGAAGAGGTAACAAAGAAATCGTCTTCTATATGTCTGCTTGTTGCCTTAAAAGTCTATGACCATTTAAATTTGTATTCTCCTATTCATCACTTTCCCTAGAAAAGAAGAACTCGTATTCAATTTCTTCATTTAAAAATCGGTTATATGAAAATTCACGGCTTGAAAATATGATTTGAATACATATATATAATAAAAAAACACAATGGACTGGAAAACCATAATTTCAGAAATAACTTCACCAATGCAGAATATATCCGGTGCACAGCGCTTCCTCTTTGGGGTGTAATGGGGTGTAGTCAAGCTTCTGGGTATGCTGTTACAGTTGCCTATACTCAATTCCCACCCTTGCATCCACGTCGCGCACCATGGAAAAGTGAGCAACTCTTATGCAAGATGCGGTAATTAACCCGTGTGGAGCCTTGGGTCATGGATTATGAGAGAGGAAGCTTCAGTGAAGCCACTCCGACTTATTCGGTTTAAGGGTCTGCTAAAGTCTAATTGCAGCGTCTGTTCACCAAAGGAGCGGCTGCGGGCAGGCGTCGGTTTTGAAGCAATCGGCTCGCTATATAAATGTATAAAAGCTTTAAACCTACTCGCCTGGTGGGGTTGTATGCGGTGTCTGCGGCAGTTAAGAAAGTAAGTAAGTACAGGGTTTCCTCACTTTCTCAATTCACAACGTTTCGTCTGCATTACTTGTACAGGATACCTAAACAAAGGCGGAGCGATGAAAGCGACTATGAACATTTACAATCGACAGCGAAGATGCAGACAAAATTCAGCATAAGGCCGAATGTCTTCTAACACTTCATCAAACTAAATGCAAAAACAAAGTTAATCCCCGGGAGGCGGTTGCGACATAAGGCAACCCTGCGTTCTATAAATTTGCCTTGCAACAAGTCTTTGAAAACTCTGACTTTTTGGAGCGCATTTGAGCAAAACGTTCCAAATCGTCAGTTGCAAAGCAACCATATGTTGTCACGCATTCCTAATTGCAACTGTGCAAACATTGACGGTGTATCATGTTCCAAAATGCATCGGGCAAAGTTATTGATGCGAAAACAAAAGCCAACTGCGCATCTCTATGGTTTTTGATTCCTTATTTTAGTATAAACTCTTAACAACAACGGCCGACGTCGGAAGGCAAGTTTTTTGCACTAATTCTTTTTTTAAATATTATTTTACTCAGTTTTTTGATCAGTCATTATGCCGAAAAGAACGTATTTGCACAAAAAACGTTCCAAAATATCCAAAGTGCTGTTGCAAAGCAAACTTATAGAATGCAGGGTGTAACCATTACAATATATTTTGACGTTTTGGTACTCGCCCATAGTTCCTTCCTGATGTGCCTGGGAGGTGGCTCTGCCTGTGATAAGCAACAATTGCTTGCATACCTAAGTATTATGCTCCTTAATTCCTAGCCTCTTCAACTGGGTCTCATTGGTCCACCGTGCCCAGTTTTACGACCAGCCGGCCAATTGTTTTATACGTTGCTAGCGCTAACGCTTTTAGGATTTTGTTGCGGCTCTGGAGCTTACTAACTTTAAGAGGTTTATAGTTGGAATTTTGACGCCGGTCTGTTCAGCTGGTGAATAGGATAGCCGGGGATTTTGCGTATTGCAGTCTTAAATATCGTCAAGATAGTCCTTCACTTTCGAACAAGTCATCAATGTCCTGGTCAGACGCCAACATCGAGCAATCATCGAGATTTGAGATCAATGAAACTCCTTCTGGTGCAGGTGGGAGCTTCGAAATATAGAAGTTAACTAGTAAGGCCAAGTAGCTAAGGCCATTGTCTATCCAAGTATTTATGGCGTAAAGTGCTGCTGTGCTGCTGGACTCAGATGGTAAGTGAAAGTCGGGAGTAGCAAGGTCCCAAGAGTCTTCGCTACTGAGGCGAGGAGAGTTATCTTGATTTGTCAAGTAGAACGGTAACGATTTGTGGCGAGACTTGAATTTTAGCAATAATTAATAGTGTTGAAAACTAAGGTGCCAAGTAAAAACAAAGACTCGCGTAAAAAATAAGAACGATTCATCTCTGCATCGACCTGAAGAACCAGAAAAAAGTATTAACAAAAAAATAGTGTAAGTATATACAATTTAAATTAAGCAAAAATATATACATCAGAAAATTCTCTGGTTATCACCGGGGGTACCTTTTCAATAGAAAATAGAAAAATTTTGGTTCATACTCGCTATTTCAGATATGACGGATTAATTTGTATGTCACTTCATTTATAAGTATCTACGCATATGTGATTTCCAAGATTTTCTGTTTAGCTTGATTTATAACCTCTTTTCATTTGGATTATTTTCAATAAAATTCTGTTCATAGTAGCAATTATTTTTACATAGTACTCTGGACATAAGTAATTAAGTTTGTATATGTGATGTTTAGTTTAAAATTAAGGTTTTCAATCAATACATACAATTTGTCTCTACAGTTATTAAGTTATTATAAATATTTTTTTATTCTTTCTATTTATTTAAAGTTATACGATATATTAACATGTATTTAATTTTGTACGCAACCTTCGTTTCACAATTAGTTTCTTTTAACACTACGCTATGCAAACTAGTACGTACTTTTACATTTCAATAATTCGATACAATTAATTACGTTACATTAAGTTAATTAACTCTTTTTATTTGTATATTACTCTTGGAAATTTATACGTATGCCGTAAAAAAACAGCCTTTTTATATTTCAGTTGCTCCCATATTTATATGTTATTTTGCTATGCTTTAATATTAAGTTAAACTTTTAAATAAGGTTCAATGGGTGAAATATTTTTCTAACGAATAAAAAACTAACATTCACACAGCTGATTATTTTACATGTTTTCATTGTGAATTATTTAAAAATTGTGATTTTCTACACAATAACATTGAGTTGTTTATGTATAAAAATTAGATACATAAAAAAATATTTCCCTTTTCTCACTTTCTTAAAATTACTTTAAAAGTGCTTTGTATTTTATATTTCATATTTATAGTTATTAATTTAGTTGTAAGTTCACATATTGTTTCTTATTAGAAAATTTTCTAATAATTATTTTTACTGTACATACATTTTCGTAAGTACTTAAAATATTACATACATACAATATATAATATGTAAATATATATATATATATTTAATATTACAAATAATATATACATAAATATGTGTGTAAATATGCTACTGCATTTTGCAAGTCGAAGCACTTTAAGCGTTCTGCTTAGTTACATATACATACATTAATTAGTTAGTATGTAAGTGATTGTTGATCAAGGGCATTTTGAATATATGAACGTATGCATATACGAGCGTTTATTATTAAATATTAAAATATTACATACTCGAACATGTTCAATGCGCTAATAATATCCAAGTGTTCATATAAATTTGGTTATATACATTCTTACACATCTTCGTAATATGTAATGCTAATAGTGGGCCACAATGCTCAGAAAAATTCATAATTATCGACCCGATATTTTAAATTAAAAAAGACAAAAATTGCGTATCACAAGTGTGTATAACAATCGACTTATACGTTTTATGGTATATTTGATGTTATACCCTCTTTCCCTTCCAGTGCGAACATTTACCATTAAAACGAAATAAAACGAATGATTTCGGGTTTCCCAGGACACATCATGAACTCAGATGTATAAATTCACAATCACCTATGACAAAGAAACGGTTTGAAATGAAAAGCATAAGAAAATCAGAAAGAAACTTTTCCCTTTCGGTGTTCTACAAAAATTGTTATTGGAGATGTCATGATTTTTCCGAAATTAAGTTTCAAACATTTGGTGGAAGCTATGATATTTGAGTTACATAAAACTTTAATAATCAGAAAGAGAGCTAACAATTAATAAAAATTCATCAAAGTATTGAATATCAAAATGAAAACTTGTGGCAAGGAGGTAACCAATTTTGAGCGAAGACTACAACCCCGTATACGACATATTATAAATTACATATGTTGAAGGTGGACATTGTCGTTAAGTCTTTTGTGTACCCTATCGATAAGTCCACTAAGTAGTTTTGAACTGGTTTAAATGAAGCCGAGCCGAACTATGAATAATGTAAAGCACAAAATTTTCAGACAGCAGATATTTTCAATATACTTTCGCTGAAATGAAGAACATGCCAATAATTTCACGTGATCAGTTGACCCGGAAATTATTAATTTTAATGTGCCTTATCCATTTTTAAATATGACATTCACTACCGAGGGGAGACCGCAGTTATAAAAATTAGCTTAATTTTTTCTTATTAATTTTTTATAACTTTTGGATGTTGGCCATTTATTTTTAAATACGTACAATCTATTTAGATTCGTCGAAAGTACGTCATTTGTTTTTGTAGCGACTGCTAAGCCTGACTAATGCGACATTAACTGTTGTTTACAAATTCCGATCATCGCTTGATATCGAAAAACTCATTTCAAATAGGCTACGCAATTCAGTCGTAAGTTGCACAGCTGAAAATGCTTTCATTTGTTCATTTTTATTATGATTCTACATATATTTTCAATAATCCAAAAAAGCTTTTACATCGTTTTCTACTACTGGGCAGTTCTGTAAACACTTCTTGTAAATTGTCAAACCCTTACTCCGTCATAGCCATTTTAATGAATTATACTATAACTCCTTTACTTTTTACGTGGCCTTTTCTCACTGTTACTAGTAAAGTAAATTTTGTTATTTTTTTAACACTCGAAATTGAATTTGGTATCCTAACAAACTGGTTACAATGTTTAAAAAAAAAAATTTGCCGCACTGCTTTTTTTACCTTGTTAATCTACATTTGATAGTTGCTGAAGTAAAAAAGGAGAATATTCACATCGAAATGGAAGACGGTCCACGAAAAAATTAATAAGTTTTATTTATTTGCTAATAAAATCATAAAATTTGAACTTAATTATTGCCTAAACGACAAAATTATCCAAATTAAAACAGTCAAATTTTTCTCGCAAACTTCTTGGCATACGCCATTTTGCACTGTTTTCTTCATTTTCAAAGCATTCGAGGACTAAAATATGCCCACACTTTTTGGTTTTGTTTTTCGCCGGCAACAAAATTTACAGGGTGACGGTGAACTCAGAGCCTGAGAGGCCTGTTACTTGCAAAATTTTTCACGAGTGGCTAATACCAAATAATTCGTTTAATCACCACCTCGGCTCGCAGTCGGAGAAAAAACCGTTCATAACACGGCCTAAGGATAAATACATATCTCATCAAATATGTTATGTCGACGTAGTAAAATTAACTTTGGTATTAAAATTTAGCATTCAGTCAATTTTTTTCCTATTTCGTATTCTGAGTTCACTGTCAGACTGTCAATTTTGCTACCCGCAAAATTGTAGGTAATAAAAAATCAGCTGTTTGATTTTGCGTTGTATGTCTTAGAAAAAATAAAAACCAAAATGTGTAGGCAAGTTTTACGTCTAGAATTCATTGAAGATGAAGAAGTGCAAAAAAAGCGCATGCTAAGAAGATTACGAGAAAAAAACGACCATTTTATTATGGAAAATAGCGTTTTTTTTTTCCGCCCTGGCCCACAACTAGGTTCGATTATTTATGACTTAATAAACACATTTGTAAAACTTTTGTTGCGCTCCGGCTTTCATTTCGATGTTAATATTTTTCTTTTTTACTTTACAAACTGACAAATGTACACATTGTAATCTGTACGCTAGAATACGAAAATCAATTTTGGGGGTTAAACAAAGTAACGAAATTTACGGTCAAGATTTTTTCAAACAATATAATTAAATTTCGGGTGTTAAATAAGTAACGAAATTTACTTTACCGGTAACTGGGAGAATAGGTATGTTAGTAAAAATCATTTTTGGCCACTAACTCAAAAACCGCTTATCCATTTACATTTTGTACTACACAAGATTGGTTCATGAAAACTATACGGTAGAAATATTCGATGAAGAAAAAAAATGTCATGTTGTCGTTTTTTATAATTAACACGAAATATTAATCACAACCTCATATTTACATATCATTTATGAACATGAATCGACATACATTAATTCTACTTGTGGATTGGAGGTGTCACATAATGTCTGTATATTGACTTCCGTCAAAAGTTTTTAGCAAAATCTTGATCCATTAGATACATTTTTTTCTTTGGTGGCCTTCTATCTGATCATTCCACGGTGGAGAACGTCTGATTTTAATCTTTTACCAACCGAGAGTAGTATATGTTATTAAATTGTTATTTAAAAAGTAAACGTCAACCGACATGTCTTAATCACAACTTATGTTTATGTAATTCGAATTCCGCTTTCACCATCAGAACCCTCCATAGCTACTGATGTCCGACGGTTTCAGCCGATCGAACATGGATACTGCGTGTGCATGCGGATGTGAATGGTGTCCAGGATGATGGCTGTGGTATACAGCTGCTGCTGCAGCTGCTGCAGCTGCAGCCGCAGCAGCCGCTGATACAGCACCGGGTGGCGGCGGTGCTGGTGTTCCATTACAATCTGACGATTGCGAATGATGTGCATGTATTGCTGTTGGATAACTACTCTGGGCAGCTGCTACTGCTGCCGCAGCTACAGAGCTGCCATAACTGTATGGGTAATTAGGGCTAGGTAAATGAAGAGAACTGGTCTGTGCTGCACCGGAAACGGTGGACGCGCAGTAAGGATTGCCATAGTCGTTGGTAGCACTGTGTTGCGCTGCAGCACTATATGACGAGTGGGGATGGTGATGTGGTGTTAAATGGTGATGATGGTGTGTTGACGCTGGAGCATATATCGAATTGACACCCGTGATGTGGTGTGGCAGATGAGCATGCGGATCCATATACACTTGGGGATGAGTAACATGATGGTGAGCGGCGTGATGTGCCACTACTGCAGCATCTGTACTGGGTGATGCTGGTAAATGATTGGCGGACGAATTCGCTGCAGCCGCAGCTAAAGCAGCAGCAGCCATGAAATTTGAATGATGATAAACATTACCTGCCGTACCAGCAGATGGTGTTGACAAAGAAACGTAATTACTGTTACTGCCGCAGCTGTTACTTGGTAAAACAGATGATGCGGCAAGATTACTTACGGAAAAGTTATTACTGCTGATATTATGCAAATTCGTTGAAGTTGTACAGTTGTAGTGACTATTTGACGTTAAAGAAGCACTACTAATTGGGGGCGTGTGTGTAGTAGACGCGTCTTCTGTTACGCTGTTATCCGCTGGACTATTTGTGTGACTTGTTGAATTAATCAGCGATATTGACGGCACTAAAACTTCTGACATAAGCGAGGGTCCTACAGTTCCACTGTAAGGCTGATGTGACATCCTAACCGGCGATGATGCAGCTGGCGAATTAAGTCGGTGGGTGCTATAATTACTGGGTGAATTTGCGGTGTATAGACTATTAGCTAGATGTGGAGTATTGCAGCCACTGCTATTGTTTCCCGCTGTCGAGTCTCTTGGGTCGGAGACAGCGGAAATTGCATTGACTGTGTTTGGAGCACGATAGTGATCAGTATGCATTTCAGCCGCTGAGTTTCCTGCACTGTTTCGTTGTTGATGTTGCTGTTGAATATGCTGCTGCTGATGTTGAAGTTGCTGTTGTTGTTGCTGCTGCTGTAAACTCTGTAATCGATTCTCCACAGCTGCACTGATTGCACTATTCCCTACAGTGGACATGGATACGGAATCATTTTCTGATATTGAAGGAATTTGGTCAACTAATGACTCAAGACCCGATAGACTTTTGCTGCTTACATCAGTAACTAAACGGGAATGATGGGTCAAGTGGCTGTGTTGATGTTCGTTTAAATATTGCTGCTGTTGCTGATGGCTTTGATGATGTATCTGTTGTTGGCTTTGGCGTTGAGAATGCGGCGATGGAATACTAAAATTACTACCACCGACATTATCATAACGTTGCTGACGCTGCCATTGTGCATACGTAGATGTAGGACTTGTTTCGTGGAGAATTTGTGTAGTATGTTGCAACTGTGGCAGATGATGCGGTTGCTGCTGCTGCCCCTCAAAATTTAGCACATTTTGTTGTTGTTGTTGTTGATGGTGATGTTGGTGCTGTTGTTCGTGTTGATGATGGGTGTACTGAGTAGGCAACGAAATGGCTTGATGGGGTGACAACCAATGTTGATAGTGATCGGCCGTTTGATGCTCGACTGACGACCCATCCACCGGACTCTGATACCGTGTGTTTTGCCGCAGCTCTTGATACCGTTGAATACGTGAGTGTTGTTGTATTGCGTTCGATCGTTGAGTGCGCATATCCACGTCATTTTCACTGTTAATAGTTGAGCTTAAAGCGGGCGGCTCAAAATCAACAGAACATATATTTGGCGAGCTGGGTGGTGGAGACTCGCCTAAGTGGGTTTCATGGGAAACATTCATCGATATCGATGCTGATGTGGTTGCTGACACTTCGTTGCCAAGCTCGTTCCTCGTCATTTCCAGTGGCGTAGGTATAGTAGAACTATCATGATTTTCCGAGCTATTTGAATTCATACCTCGAGGAGTGTAATAGCTTTTTGCATTGCTGCTGCCTTCCATATGTGTTGTGCCTAAATTTATGGGACTACTCATGATGACGCTGCCATTATCAAGAAGTTTATCACAATGCTGTTGATGTGTGGGTGGTGTAGATTGTGTTGACGTAGGTGGTGTTATGCCAACATATGAGCAATTAATGGCTGGCGATCTCATTGGTGAACTTGTGGTAAATAATTGATGAGAAGATTGTTGCTGTTGCTGCATATCTTTATTTTCATAAATATTATTAGCTTGCTGCTTAATTGGATGGTTTTGCATTCGTTGTGTTAAACTGGTATCCATCCCTGTCAGCGCCTGAATTGACATTGCTTGGGGTATGTTCTGCGTTAGTGGATTTTGAATTTGTTGGCTATCGTTTACCGGCTTTACTTTTTTGGGTCGCCCGCGCTTCTTCTTTGGTGCTTCACCATTGCCGTTGCCAATTCCGACACTCCCGCCCAATATAGCTTTGTTCCCGCATGCATTTGATATAGTTTCACTCATCATTGACAAATTCAAAATATTACTGAAATCGTTAGAATTTGACATTTGACCCATGATTTGCATGCGATTGCGTGCATCAGAGTCTATTAAGTCATGTTCCTTTATCTTTTTCGGACGCCCGCGTTTCTTTTTCTCCGGTGGCGGATGTCCATGAAATCCTGCAATCATATTGTTTTCTTTCTGCTGTTGCATTATTGAGCCCGTAGCACTTGTAGTAGATTGGGTCAGTGGTACTAGGCCAGCCATACTATGGTCACGCACATTTTCATTCGTCCTGTATAAGTATGTAGCTTCCGTAGAACCGTCTTGAAATCTAGGTAATCTTGTCTTAGGCCTATTTTCACCCTTTGCTGTGATCTCACCAAAACTGTTTACTAAAGAAACACTGCTTCTACCACTGCATTTGCTCTCGTTACCGCAACCCGCACAGCTGCCACAGGCGGTTCTATCTGCACAAATTCCGCCAAAAGTATCACTGTCGGTTTTTATCACATGTGTTGCCACTGTCATGTTTATATCTTTGTCTATGAAACGAATTGGCATTCCGTCATATTCTATTCCCATACCATCACTCTTAGAAGCAATCCCTTCTCCATTTGCATGCCCACATAACGCCGATGTACCAGAAGCTCCGAGGTTCTGATGATTCTCTGGATCGCAAACTTGCTTAATTTTTTGCTCTGTGAATACGCACTCGGACTCGTCCATATGTGATAGTGAGCCGTTTAAGTAGTCCCGAAATTTTTTAAGTGCAGCATAAAATGGGACCTTATCAGCAGCCCGGGGTAACTGTGCACATCTTGCCGATGATGAGGGCATAACCCATACGTACTAGATTGAAAACAGTAATTTTGCTTTTATTATTAATATTATTAGTACTATATTAACTTGTTGCCTACCGTGTCGGTACCCTCCACACACTCCGGTTGCCGACCAAAATTAAAATCTTTCTTCCCAGAAAAAACTTCAAAAATTAGTTTCCCGTTAAACACTGCTATTTTCGGTCGAAACCGTTGAAGTTTTTCCAGTAAAAGTCGACTGCCCTCTTTAATTTCTTTCCTGGTCAAATCAGCTGAGCCCTTAGTTGCACGTTGTACCATATTAGTGAAGCCGATTCCATACTTCAAAAGTTTGATATCTTGTTCAGCGCTCATTTGCTCTTGAGTAAGACCTGAAAGATACAAGCACTTCCAAAAATGGTTCCCAGGCCCAGCATAATGATGGCCTTTGTACGCGGCGAATAAGCCGGGATTAATACCAATCTGTAAATAATTTAACAACGTTAGAATGTTAATTTAAAATCGTTATACCAATGTTCGTCAGGGTTTAGCGCATTCGAATCTGATTTGGTTAATATGCAGACTACGAAAAATCAAAACAATTCGCCAATCGAACATTTTTAATACAAATAGACAACCAGGCCTATGCTTGAACATATAAGAATAGCTTGTATCCCGTAGCCGCAGAATAATAACATTGCGCAGAGAACATTTATAATTTGCTTAATCAAATTTTGACCAAAAACTGAAAAAAAAGTTTAACACAAAATGTAAAAAATAGATTCCTGAAATTACTTCGCCAATTTATATAGATATTTTTTTAAATAAAATTTATTCAACAACAGCTTTTATAAAAAAGAAGAAAAAATATCTAAATCCAAAAATTAAAGTAATATAAAAATGAATATGTTTGAAAATAATGTTAAATGGTTCTTTATAAGTCTAATGATTTATAAATATTTGTTGAAGTTATTCACAAGAACTTAAATTTTTAGGAATAAAATTATTTTGTTTACTACGTGTATAACTTTAGAACGAATATGTGGGATATGTTTTCTTAATTTAGAAAGAATTTCACTTGCATTTTCGACTTCACTAATTAATATTAGAAAAACTTTGTTCACAGGGAAGTCTCAATGTTCGACGATAAATGAATTCAGCTGAAGAACATTTTAGGTTTTCCCTAATCGCTGTTGTAAACCTTTAACTATCCACGGTAAAGTTTCAGAACAATGAATTGAATCATATGATGCTGTAAGTTTGCAAAGTTCTATGAAATTTTTTAATCTTTCCATTTGGCTGTGGATGATACGGAGAAGTGTGTGTTTTGTGAGAACGTAACAATTTTTTTAAATCATTATATAATATCAAAGTAAACTGTGTTCCTGGTCCTACCGTACCGAAGCACATAATTTTGAATAAATGTATAATAGTTGCAACAGAAACCGCCGAAATGTCTTAAAGTGAATATGCTTGCGGCCAACGAGTATGTCTGTCAATAAATGTTGATATGTATAGATTCTATTTTGAAATTGGAAGACCCATTTGAATATATCATCGTCCAGAGCAATAAATCTTTTGAATTGGAGTTTAAATTCTTTACACATATTAGGCCCAAAATGCTTAGATTGAATGAGACGTCGAGTAGTTCGAACACTCGGGTGTGATAAAGAATGTTTTTTTTTTTTCAAAAATATTTTTTCTTTAGAAACATATGTCCAAAAAGAGTTTGTGTAACATAACACCAAATAAAAAGATTTAGAATAGATATATTAATGAATTGAATCATATGATGCTGTAAGTTTGCAAAGTTCTATGAAATCTTTTAATCTTTCCATTTGGCTGTGGATGATACGGAGAAGTGTGTGTTTTGTGAGAACGTAACAATTTTTTTAAATCATTATATAATATCAAAGTAAACTGTGTTCCTGGTCCTACCGTACCGAAGCACATAATTTTGAATAAATGTATAATAGTTGCAACAGAAACCGCCGAAATGTCTTAAAGTGAATATGCTTGCGGCCAACGAGTATGTCTGTCAATAAATGTTGATATGTATAGATTCTATTTTGAAATTGGAAGACCCATTTGAATATATCATCGTCCAGAGCAATAAATCTTTTGAATTGGAGTTTAAATTCTTTACACATATTAGGCCCAAAATACTTAGATTGAATGAGACGTCGAGTAGTTCGAACACTCGGGTGTGATAAGGAATGATTTTTTTTTCAAAAATAATTTTTCGTTAGAAACATATGTCCAAAAAGAGTTTGTGTAACATCACACCAAATAAAAAGATTTTTAAGTATTTCGTCTATTTGTTGCTCTCAATACATATATTGAAAATTTAGGTCTTTGGTTGAAACTTAATTGATTATTGGGGTTCGAGAAAAAGTTACGTGAATTTAATTTTCCTTACCACAAGTGTATCTAATATTATTAGTAAATTGTGCGATATATTCTAACAGGCCCATTCTCACTGTTACAGGTAAAGTAAATTTTGCTACTTTTTTGAACAACCAAAATTGAATTTGATATTCTGGCGAACTGGCCACAATTTATGAAAAAACTTGGGCAGCAATGCTTTTTTCGTCCGTGTCAAATTACGTTTGCCAGACGCTACAGTTAAAAAAAAATAAATATGTTTTATTTATGTGTTCAGAATACGAGATAGTAACAATATTTATTGAATAGTAAATTTTAATACCAAAGTAAATTTTGTTACAGGCCTATTCCATCGAGGTAAAAAAAATTTACTTTGATATTAAAATTTACCATTCATTAAATTTTGTTACTATTTCGTATTCTAAGTGTTTAAGCGTGTGCTTAACAGATCATCAACGTCGCCGAAACATACATTTTGGGCCCATCCAAATGCAGCCACATTGCAGCAAATATTATATAAGCAGTGGAAAGCATGCAGAGTGCGGGATTTCATATCAATACAACCGCAAGTGCGCACGGGCGGAAAAATTTAAAATTAAAAGCAATTTATATACATATGATATCAAAAAGAAATATTCATATTTGTTCATAAATATTTTGTAAAAAGCATAAATTATCGTTATTTTAAATTAAATAAACATATGTACAAATATATAAAAACGAATACGCGAGTGGCTTTTTTTTCGAAGGAACTCGAAGAAGGTACCTCGCGGGAATATGGTACTTCGAGGCTAAAATTGAGCCAATTTATGGTGTACAGCCACAGTTAAAAAAAATATTTGCAAGATCAAGTGAATGTGCATATTACAAAATTAATTAAAAGTGAATGTGAACTTTCGAAAAAACTGACAAACAACAAAAAAAATTTAAGTGTACAATAATTATAATTTACAAATAGAAACAAAAACTTGAAAAGTAAAATAAAAGTATGTACAATTTACAATAAAAAAAAATACAAAACTGTAACTAATATTCGAAAGCTGTATGCACATATAATCAAAATCAATGCACACATACGTGTATGTATATACAAACGAAAAACAAAACAACAACAGAAACAACCAAATATATGCTATTACTGATTGCTGTTGAAAAAAGGAACAGGAACTTGCTGCAAGAGGTTGTCACCACAGCAACAACAACACCAAAACATCTATACTCCATCACCCAGATACAGATCGCAGATGTATATATTTAAAGAAACTTAAGCGTTGGAAGCAAACAAAAGGGCAGTAATATTGTTTTAGGCAAATATATACTTACATATATACTTGTTGATCCCAAAAACAACGTACATTAAAATCTGCAAGCATACATTAACATATGTATATGCAAAAGCAAAAAACCAAAAAATCTTCCCGCAATATTTTGGTATATTGAAATTCCTTGTATAAGTACGTATATATGCCAGCAAATAACTTTGTTTTCTCAACAAAAGTATAAAAATGCAAATTATCAAAATATACTTGTTTATTTTCAATAACAAGAATTTCAGTAACGCGATCTTGAAGGTTGTTGACCTCAGTTTCGAATTTTAATATTTGCAAATTAAGCATATGTATATACATACATACGAACATGCATACATATCCAAGAGATTTATTTTAAAAGTGCTCTGAAGTTCACTAATTAAAACATAGACACTCTCCCGTGTAATTTCTCTTTTTTTTCAACAAAAATTACATTTGTATTAGAAAGTTAGCATTCTCAAAAAATAGTGCATCCTTTTCCGCGATCACTTTGCTAACATATGTAGATACTTATAACAAAATTTTGGTGAAAATCTATTTCTTTTTGTATTTAAAGAGTAGTATAAACTCTCCTTATATTGCTTTGCTTTTCTATTTCCTTTTGTGCTTTCTCAAGCGCATACTGTGCAGCCACTCAGTGCAGTAAAATATCAGTTGATCTAGCTCGCTCTCAGTTCAGCTGAAACATTACATTACAAGCCTACGCACAAATATTCATACATACAAACTGCATCCCAACCCAGCAGTAAACACTTCTGGGTCACTTTATATTCAAGTAGTCCTAAACTACACCCAATTTCCTGCAACATTAGTTCCCCAAGTCTAAGTGCAGACTTGTTTAAAAACAATAAATTTTAATAAAAAGTATTTAAATAAATGTAATAGTGTATAATGTCGAAAAATCAAAGCCCTCGGCTAAGTATCTCCTCCAAGATACCCCCAAAGAAATCTCTAACACAGCTCAGGGCACAACGTGTAATGCTGCTTCTCCCCATGTAGCAGCTGAAAGCAAAATGGAGCATCAAGTCACAAAATGCAAACCACACTACCCGTGTGCGCAAATATTTAACATAACAAATGATGACTTAATGAGATATTGCGCCAGATTTAACTCTTCCCCCATAGAGGAGTTTTCAGAAAATCTCCTGAAAATTAAAAATTATTCTCTTGACGATTGGTATGAACAAGTTCAAGACACATACGATGTCTTATTCCTAAAAGACAAAGAAGACCTCTCCGCGAATTTTCTTGCACTGGCGGAAAAAAAGTATCAATTTAGCATTGATACTAATGAAAAAACCAAAGCAAAAATTGCTGAGCAACTTAAGTTAATTAGTGCAGTAAATCAACCAATGTCTAGTTCTCAAATAGATCCCAGAACGATGAGTGGCCGTCTTTTCGAGACATGTTCACTGCCGTATATATAAACCACCCCCTGCTATCTCCAGCTCAAAAGTTATACCATCTCCGGTATAAGACAAGAGGCCAAGCAGGAGATATAGTTAAACGATTCGCTTCAACTAACGACGAACAAGCGCCAGTTAGTCGACAATCAGGTCACAACATTATTGAACTTACCCAAAGTTCAAAAAGAACCAGTGAGGATTTTATTAATTTATACTTAACAATTAAAAATTCTTTATCAGTGCTTGAAACCCTCGGCACACCCACTGATAGCTGGGACCCAATTCTGGTCAATATATGTTCATCCGCATTACCAGAAAGTTCACTAATGTGAACAATCTCTTGTAACCTGAAAGCAGTGTCCAACATGGCAACAAATGAAAGAATTCCTTTACAGTCAATACGAAATTAAAGAATATCACATAAGCCCAACCCATGGGTTTGGCCGAACGAATAAAATAAATGTGCCCTTGATCTCCCCATGTCAAGATAAACACAAACAGGCTCACTTGACCCCGAGTCAAATTACGCAGAAAAATTCGATTTTGATCTATACGAGTCGAAATTCACAGAAACCTGTGATGATCACCCCAGATCATAACTCATAATCGGTCAGCAGATATAACATGCAATCGCACTGCTCAAATCATGAGAAGATCGGCTCATTGCATACTCTGATCACACCTAGATCAGATGTTTCCCAAGGACGCATTACAAATAAGTTCTACAAGTCCCGTAGAACAGGCTCCTATCGGCAGAAGGACATGCATTCATGTCTGCATCAACAAAATATTAATAAACTAAAAATTAAGCAACGGCACTTTCCGTTGCAGTATACTTCCAACTTTTCTTTCAAGGAAACGGACAACCGAATCGGATTACGGCAATAAGTCCAAAGAAATCCCGCCGAAGTCCAGAACGCAATAGCAGCGGAAATAGCGAGAGGGAAACAACATTATACACGGCCCCACACATTCAACAGATCTAATTCAGCACTTCGTGCAAGGTGGCCCAATATGTTTAAGCGTGTGCTTAACGGAACATCAAAGTCGCCGAAAACCCATACATTTTGGGCGCATCCTAATGCAGCCACATTGCAGCAAATATTATTTCGAAGGAACTCGAAGAAGGTACCTCGCGTGAATACTAGGTTCACTGTCACGCTGTAGATTTTGTTACCACCGAAATAAGAGGTAACAAAAATCTACTGTTTGATTTTGTGCTGTTAGCTTCAGGGCAAAAAAAAAACGAAAATGGGTAGGCACCTATTAGGCCTGGAATTCATTGAAGATAAAGAAAAAAGTGTTAAAGGCGTAGCAAAGAAGTTGCGAGAAAGAAATTTACCTTTTAATTTGGAAGATAGCGTTTTCATTAAGCTTTCTTTTTGTCGTTTAGGCATATTTTCTAAAATTAAGTTCAAACATTTTTGATTTGATAAACAAAAAAATAAAACTTTTTTTGATGTTTTTATTATTAAGTTAGGCTTAGCTGATTAGTGCAAATAAAGCTAATTTATCCACTTTTTGCCCAAAGTTTCGCTAAATATTTTAGCATCTTCAGGGGCTCCTGTTTATTTATTTTGAATAAAGAACACATGTTAGTGTATACATAGATACATACTGACTATTTAAAAAAGAAAACTTACTAATATCAAAAAGCTTGCAATTATATAATATGCAATGTCGTTAGCATATGCATCATTAATACTAACTAATTACTTTTCCAAAAAAAACAAATATGCTGCTGCGATGTTGTCTGTATCTTCTTTTTTGTTTAATGTCTTGTTTCTCTTTTCCAAAATTCTCTCTCTAATGTGTATCTCATGTTCTCTCTCTTTTCCCTGTCCAAAATCGTTACGTTATCAAAGTCAGCTGAGTGACCACTGCTTATTATATGTTGTGAAAGCGCTGTACTACTTTTTGGTTCTCTTATGTCGGCTTCATGTTCTGCTAAGCGCACTCCCAAAGACCGTTTTGTTGTGCATATGTATAAATTATCACAGTTCTCGTTGTTTTTTCCTTTGCATTTGATTTCGTACACAAAATTGTTTTGTTCTTGTGTGTTAATTGGTGTTTTTGTTCTTGCGAATTTTGTGCGAGCGATTGAGAATGCTTGGAAAATATAGTTCGACAAGGACGAAAAAGCAGTGCTGCCAAAGTTTTTCAAACATTGTAATCAGTTCGCACGAATACCAAATTTAATTTCGGGTGTTCAAATAAATTAACAAAATTTACTTTACCGGTGACAGTAAGAATAGGCCTATAAATGTCTATTTTGACGAGCAGCGAGCTATCTGCTTTAGAATTTAGAATATGTGTAAGTGATTTATGATCAGTGTAAGCTTTTAATATTTCATCTCTACCTTCGAGAATACATCCAAAATATTTAATGGAGTCATACATTGACAAAAAATCTATCGAATGTTGAATAATTAATTGTAGTTGAACCTAATTTTCACGAAAAATATGCTAATGTGTTATCACTATTCTGTTTAAAACAGCTCCGATATACTGTTATTGATAATTGACCGCTTTTGTCAAAATGTGCGAAGTCTTTTAACTTTTTCAAATTCAATTATCTTAGCTTATTTTTATTTGTAAACAATAAAACTTCTTGCAGTGGACTTAATTCTGCTCATAACATTTTATATATATATACATACATATATAGATATATATATGATTGGCGCCTTGTAACGCTGAAGCGATTTCGCGCCGGAGCTCCTCCTTCAATTTGCGGTCTTTCGTCTTGATGTTTTCCCATCAAATAGAGGGACCTACAATTTATGCTAAACCGCCTTCGAACGGCTGATCACTTTTTTGGGGAGCCTTATTTCATATCAGAAATACACTCGGAAAGGTGGATATTCCCTGCGGAGGAGCAAGCGCAATTAGAAAATTTAACTTAATTTTTCATTTAAATTAATTTTACACAACTTTTCGATGTTGGTGGTTACGGGATTTGAACCCAAGCCTTCCCAAGTTACTTGGTTGTCTTCAGATTGAAAAATTCGCACTCATGTCGATCATGTTGGTATAGACGGAAGACAAGTATCCAGTAGTTTTGATGTGCGTACTTTCCAAGATCCTAACATCAACTCGGAACACTGTCTTGTCGCAGCGAAGATTCCGACGCGCCGGTGTGTATCAAAGAAAATTCGTCAGCAAACGAGGAAGGTTCGACGATGATAAGCTGCAATCCCAAACGAATAGCCGAATGATTTGCTCGGTTTACACCCCTGCTTTCAGAGGGCACTCATCAGCATTGATTTAAAGGAACAGTGCAACGGCATCTCAAACTCCCTACTTACCGCCACTACGAAAACAATTGGTTTTTGGAACTGCAGTGGAGAGAAAACAGACTGCACACTTCGCAACCTTACGATCGACCACAACATTTCAGTTGTGGGATAGATACCAAGAGCTGAATAGAGAAACAAGACGCATCTGCAGACGAAAAAAGAAAAAGAGCCTGGCCGACAGAGATAATACTCGAAAATTCTATTTCAACAAGTCGTTAAAGTGCTGACAATGTGTATGCATCAGCTTCTTTGCAAAACAATAAAAATGGTTCTAGCAGCAAGGCGCGACGCGGATATTCGCAGAGACGTAAACCACCATAAGCGGAAAGAGTGGGATAAGATTTTAAGGTTCAGCAATCTCTCCTCTGGGGTAACCAAGCTCACACTACTACAGTCAAATCGTTGTCTAACCCTAACTTTTACAGGCCTGTCAGAACACTGCCCTCAGGACTCAGGGTCGCCGGAGCATCATTTGCACAGCGCAGCATCTAAGCTCCGAGTTAAGGAGCCTAATGGTTTGTTGTGCCAGCATTTTCTATTTCAATGTTACCGTAGGGACCACCTCAATAGCCACCTTATGGAAACTGAACATCCACCAAGACACATCAGAAATGGACTACCTGAAATGAAGGCCACAATCCAGCAACATGTGAAACAACGCTGAACAGGACAGCGTAAAGACACGCACTGAACGCTATTCACCAGGAGTCAGTCAACACCTTTAAGGACTCTCTTCAGGTGAATGGCGTGCTCGGAGATAAAGCACCACCTATCGTAGACAAGGAGCTCGAACTGTTTCGAGAGACCCGCGTAAGATCTTGCCACAATTTAGGTCCGGATACTGGATGTCCAGCATGTGGAGAATCTCCGCAGGATACTATTCACATCTTCACATGCCCATCTGCGACACATCATCCCCCATCTCCCTCTGGTCCGATTCCGCTGAAACAGCACGTTTCATGGACCTACCGTTAGATAGCTTAGGGGTTTTAGATTGATCTTAAACCTGCCCCTAAGCTGGTTTAACATAGCCCCTACAACAAATATGATAACAACCATTAATAAATAGGATACCAGACATGTGGTCGGATGGGCCATTAAATTTCGTTTAATAGACAAACAATGTCTAACACATTTCTGTACGTTGAATAACATCGGACTGAAGACTAAGATTCTGTGCTAAACTAAACGAGGTGAGGTCGCCAAAAATATGACAACCACCGCACTGATTTTAAATGATTGCCCTTGAAATTTCTTTCAGTGAACGATGTTCTCGGAACTCAATCACCACCCATGGCAGACGAGGAATTCGAACTGCCTCGAGAGATCAAAGTAATATAATAATTAAGATCTGGATATTGTAGTCCACTATCCTTCTATTTATACAAATTTGACCGCGGCATATCCAACGTGTGTCCTGAATACAATAGGACCCTGCACGTCACTAACTACCTCTTTGAATACGCCATAAGCCCCTGTTCTCTTCGGCCAGAATCCAACGAAACTGCCCGTTTCCTGGACCTTCCGTAAGATGATCTTGATGACCTTTATTAATCTTATCTTATCTTAAGTGATGCTGGATAGCCACTACAACAACAAAAATAACAATCTACTAATGGCAAATGATTTGTGTGCACGACATATTCATTTAAATTTTGTTTCAGCAAAAAATATACGTAGTACATTTTTTTTAACTGATTATCTTTCAATACTTTTAGCTATTCAAATGTAAGAAATGTTAATAACTAAAGATACGATATGTCTGTAAAAGTGGTCTCAATTGGAAATTTACACTCACTATAACTATATCGAGATTATCACATAGGTGGTCTGGTAGAGTTCGCTTAACGACTTCCTCCTCGGACATGCCATTGAAACGATCATGCTTCTTTCGCTCTTTCGTCTTAAGAGGACCCGTAATTACATTTTCGTTGGCATTCGGTCCCCCGTTATTAGCGGTGCTGAGTGGAAGTTACAGTAATTACATAAAGATATAAATGTGTGCGAAAACAAACTTACTTGGCTGACAATTCTCCAACCTGCAAACCAGATTCATTGTTGCCTACCATTAACTGCATTGACAATGGTGAAATCATACCATCAAGTCCAATCGGAATTTTCTTTTTTCTGCCGCGCTTTTTTTGTGGTGGGTTAAGTACTGGATTATGCTCCGTAAAATTAAACTGGGATGGCTGTGCTGGTATATGCTGCGGAAGATGTTGCATGTGATGATGTAAAGAAAGCTGCTGTTCCACTTGCTGGCTTTCACTCAAAATATTTGCAGCTGGAGTTGTTAACTTCATTTTGAGATTATAGTCTACTGATTCTTGTAATTCATTATTTGCCACCTGTATTTGCTGCTGTGGTTGCTGGTTTTGGAGCTGTTGTCGGATATTGTACATTCCGTCTACTTGATGACCCATCACGTTTGTTGTTACACTCAAATATGTTACTGCAGAAGCATCGCTATTTCTTTGCGAACCACAATCAACATTAAGAAGAGTAACTTGCGTAATACCAGAAACTCCACCGCTACCAGAATTTTTAGAATTGGAAATAGCTGAATTCCCGGCCGCTAAGTTATCATCCATATACGAGTAGGGACCCGGTGTTATATTCGCGTTTGGAATATCACTGCTATGAATATCCCTGTTGGCCAGGGGGTAACGCTCGGCCAACGGTTTTTCCTGTGGTGGTGGCTGCTGCTGGCTAACTACATCACTAACAGTACCTTGCTGCATTTTCATTAGCTGGTCATCACTCTTAGATGGTGGTATAAGATTAATAGCGGGCTGTATCTGATGTTGCGGCGTCAATGAATGCGTAGACGAGCTGTGTGAGTTCGGAGTGAGAACATCCCCGGCACTCGTTTCGTAGCCGTCATCTTGATTTTCATGTTTAACATGACTTGGTGAAAGGCCACTGAAATATAATAAATATGTGTATTGTTCGAGCTTGATGTAGTAAAAAAAAATTCAAATATTTTATTACGTACAACAGTCAAGTGAGCAAAAATACTATAGTTACATTTATAACTGTTGCAAAAAAAGCCCTAGAAAAATAAATTCTTGGTTTACGACGGGCGAGTTTCAAAACGTCAAAATACTTTGTAATGATGCGGTTTGGCAACAGAAAACCTTAACGATGCGCACTTTGCTTTTGTTTGTGAATCAATAACCTTACTGATACATTTTGGAGCATGATACAACGCTAGAGTTTGCACAGCTGCATTTAGGAATACGTGACAGTGTATGGTTGCTTTGCAACTGACGTTTTGAAACTCACCCAACTTACGCATAGAAACGTGACAGTGAAAGCTTCTATTTATCGGTCTGTATGAATGACTTAACGAAAACTTTTACTATTACGCTGTTGTCTCGGCAAATCGCTAACTAAGCGACGAATATTTTGAAACTGTTAGCGCAATCGAAAATATATTGTTATTTTATTAAAGTTAAAGAAAGAAAATCGGAAAATTACCTAAACTATGTGAAAAAATTGTGTTTTTTGGCATACGTTTTATGACAAGATGATTTAGTATCAAACTCTTCATCATAGGATAGCAGTTTGATTGGGGGAATGGAGGATCCTTTCCACTTGCATGCAACTGGGTTTCGGTATATACGTGTATATAGATTAAATCCAGATTTAGCTTAAAAATTTGTTTCTCAAATTGATAGCCAACTAAAAGGCATAAGAAAAACAGAAATATCTACTGAGAAACAGGTAGCAATATAATATAATATATTCATTCAGTTTTAACACTATTAAGTACTTATAGGGTCTAACCGCATTCTGATTCCTTGCAACTCCATGTTATCGACGTCACGTTGAATAGCAATGGGGAATTTCAATGTCCGTTACGCAATACACTTTTCTCGAAGGCTAGAAATCCCATTTCCCTAAAGAAAGTATTACTTCATTATCGTCACCATTTGTTGTTGTTGTCGTTGTTGTAGCGGTTTGCTAACCCCGCTAAGGTACAGGTTTCATCAATCTAGGTTGCTGAGATCATCGAGTGGGAGGTCCAGGAAACGAGCTGCTTCGACGGAATTGGACAAAAGGGAGAGGGGGGCTCAGATGAGTCGACTTGAGGGGGCATGTGAAAAGGTGGTTAGTGTCGTGCGGAGATTCTCTACATGTAGGGCATAACTTTTATATGCTTGGGTCGAGTCTGGATAAGTAAGAGGTTAACCTGCTATAATATCCAGACCTAAGTTGTGCCAAGGTTACGAGGGTCTCCCGAGGCAGCTCGAGCTCGTTGTCTGTAACGGGTGGTGGTTTTACTCCGAGCACGTCATTCACTGGAAGGAAGTCTTTGAAGGTGCGTGTCTGTATGTCGTCCTGTTCAGAGGTTGCTGTACATGTTGCTCGATGGTTTTTTTAAGCCGAGTACTCGTTTTCTGATGTGCATCCTAGGTTGAGGTTCAGCTTCCATTCGGTGCCAATTGGGGTGCTACCTGCGGTAACATCACTATAGGAACTACTTCCACAGGAAAACATTATGCTCTTTAAGTCGTAGCTTACATGCTTCACTGTGCAAGTGAGGGCGGTGCTCTGGCAAGGCCGTAACTTCTTCATCTGCATCTCGTTCTTCCCCGGCGCCAGGATCGATGCAGAATAGCTTACGACCGGCCTGCCAATTGTTTTGTAACTTTCCACCAAAGTTTTCTTGTCTTTACTCCAGGTGCTGCCGGCTAGCGCTTTGAGTAAATTGTTGCGCTCTGGAGTTTTGCGGTAATTACGGTCGTATGCGGAGTGAAGGAGTGCAGACAGTCTAGTGTCACTCCTAATATCTTTGGGTTGTTTACAGTAGGAAGTTTTACGTCATCAACCTTCACATCTAGTTCAAGCCTGTATTCCTTCGTCCAGCTAGTGAAGAGGGTAGCCGAGGATTTGGTCGGCTGTAATTTCAGTTGTCATGCAGAGCAATATCCTGGTCAGACGCCATTATCGTGCAATTATCGGCAAACGAGCTTAGGGAAACTCCTTCTGGTGGAGGAAGGAGTTTCGAAATGTAAAAAATTAACAGTACGGGGAGAGGACACCATTCAGCAGAACTTCCTGTTGAATTTTTTTGGCAGCTCATGACCTACATCTGCGATCCCAGCGGTAATGGGGATTCTTGAATGTCCGTTAGTTGCACTGAACGGTTGACAGTGTCAAAAGCTTTGCTTGCAGCAAGGCCTCAAGTGTCATCGCCACTGGGGAGAGTAGAGTTATCGGCTGATAATACCCTCCTTTGCCGACTGGTTTTTCCCGGCTTGAATAGTGGGACCACCCTGCCTGTTTTCCATACGTTAGGTATCATTAGGGTGGTCAAAGACAAGTTGAGGACCTTGGTGAGAAAGTCTGTTTCAGCTGGTCCGAGATGTTTTAGCGGCAGCATGCTAAGTCCGTCTTAGCTGATGAATGTGGAGGCTTTCGCCTTCCCGATGACCTTCTGAACTCCTTTCCTGGTGAAATCAAGCGTCGCGTTGGTATTATTTGGCAGTTTGCGCATACGGCGGGTCGTCGCTTCGTTTAGTCTACCGAAGGATGCAGTGTACAAAGTCGGCTGAAATAGCTTGCGCATCATCTGCATGAAATTTCCACGCGGTCATCGCGTCTCGTCGGGTTAAACAACGTTTTGACTGTAGCCCAGAGCTTCTGGTTGTTAACTACTCTGCGCTACTCCGAGGTTAAATCCCTGAATAGGGGATTCCCGGGATAGGAGTTTCGAAGGATGTAGCGCAACGATGCTTATACCGCCGCTAATGTCGGGCAATTTGGGCGGATTTCCACTATTTAGCCTGCGCGCACCTATATCACGGCTGTATCCAACTGGGCGACTTGTAACAGGAGGAATGTATTTATTGAATATTTCGAGCTCGGCATCGCCTGACTGGATGGCTATGCCCTGATATTCTAGGGTAGTATACTGCACGGTGTTGTGCAGGATGAACGCAAAGCTCCCACCAGGGTCTCGCTCGCGATCTTTGCGGATTTTGTTGTAACCGGCCCGGCTCAGAAGATCAGAGCGGGCGGTCAACTTAGTTTCCTGCAATTGACAGGTGCTCCCGGCCCATGTAGTCGATTTTCCCCTGGAGTCCGCTGCAATTAAATTTTAGGGGTGGATCTGTCTCGGGAGAACGTTCGTGATACGGGGGTTGAGGGAGTGAAGCGTGGATGGTGTGTGTTGCTGCTGTAATGCCCGCTGAAGTTGATGCCCCACATTGGTGTTGGTTGGCGGTATGTTTGTTGAAAAATGCGGGGGCAGACTCCTACAGCACGGGGCAACCTACGTATCGCTCCACTCACGGGTGGTTTGCAGGCCAGACCACGTCCGAAAATGACATTAGCCAGAACATTGTTGGAGGCATCACTGCACTCTTGTACCAATCTAGAGCCACCGAAATTAAGAAATCACCATAAAAACGTTCAAATGATACCTACGCTTTTTTTTAGATGTTATTGTAGTAACGCAGTTCATGTTTATAGATATGTGTGTACTCAAAAGTGCGGTACAATTTCTTTCCTCTGCAGTAGTTTTGAAAGTGAAAACAATAAAATTTTTTCATTTTTAAGCTCTGTAATCCATTGCATCTCATTTAATAAAAATAAATCCTATGACGACCTTTTTTCATTCCTCTGTGTGCTTTTCACATATTTAGACCTTTCGTTAAACCGTTTATCGCTAAAACTGAGTTAAAGAATCGCAAAACCGCGACAAATTCGCAAGATTGCGATCAGACAAATCGTGTCGGAAATGTGACTGAATCGCACCACAGCATAAATGAAATAAACTCTTAACATTTGAAGTATGTTTTTAACCCTTGTTAATTAATATCGTTGAAATAACTGGAGTCAGGTCACGAGTGTGTTCGGTGAGGTGCCGGGCAGCACGATTTAGACATTGAATTGGAGGTGAATTAACGAAATCCAGCTGTGGAAATTTCAGTAAGAAAAGTAAGCATAAAAAATAACTGATTTGCATTTTTATCAAAAAATAAAAATAAAAAATAAAAATAAATAAATAAAAAAAAATAAAATATATTGCGATGAGTGCCAGGCTTTAAAAAAAAATTTCCCTTGGGGGTGTTAGAAGAGGTCATACACATCACAAAAATTTATGTTCTTCACCGAGGTAACTTATTGGTATCGAGATATTTGTTGTTAAAGCTGATTATTTCACTAACCGAAGTTCCATCCACATCCTGCAACGCGCAACAGTCGAACACGTCTGAAAAAAGCTTAATATAACACCAGTTATGCCAATGAAGTTCCGATCTTATTCTTCTTGCGACGCCTCTTCGGTTCATAAAGCACTGTTACATACGTAAATAAAGCTACCCATCGCATCTCAATTCTTCGGCCGGCAATCACATTCACCGGGCTAAAATAGTCCAATCCAGTGTTTGTCCCATCATCGGGACGACTGGCTTTGCTTTCTTTAATTTGCATGCACTGCAATTAGCAATAAATGACCACACGAAAAAAATTTCTCAAGTTTGGGATCCAGTACTTCTGACGAATCATACAAATAGTTGCCTCCGTATGTTGGTGCATCATTCGCTTATGCGCTTGGGCGATTATGAGCCTCGATACGACATGGTGAGATGGTAAAATTTTACTTCTTTATATCCTAAGCGAGCCAACTGATAGCACCCAACCGCCCGTGTACTAGGAGAACACCCTTTACCGCGAAAGTTTGTCGAGTGGACTCTCACTTGACAGACTGAGTCCTTTCTCCAGTAGATTCACTTCCTTGACCAATGCTTCGCGTTGCACGTGCCGAAATATCAGTCGTTCGGCGGCATCAAGTCCCGTGGCCATTAACACATATGCTGGTATCTTCTCCGAAAGTTTCGCTCTTTATTTGCTGTCACGGATGTACCGGAGGACCCATGCAAAAACTCTCCTCAGTTTAAGAAACGATGAAAATCTATCAAATTCAAAAATGTTTCTTCTGGCAATTAATCAAGTATATTTCGGCCAAAGTTCTTAGTTCTGGTAGACATTGACAACGGGTGTGTCGTGTGTGTCGTCTGTGGGCCAAATATGTATTGACTGATATGAAAGATCTGGACCCAAGAAATAACGTGATGATGGGTTTGAGGTTAACAACTTTTTTACTTTCTTCAGCGACTTGTTCTCTTGTTGGCACCCATCTCCAATCAAAGTGTGTCTATTAGGATTTCCGCCACTCTATGGACTACAAAGGACTTATTACGACGATGCTCACTTGCAATCCACTTGAGAACCGTATGCTCTACAATTATTATAGTTGTCATTATACGGGATCCTATTACGGCGGCTCACAACTCCAATCTAGTACACAATATTGACTTGCGCCGTATTTTCTGAATTCTCTACTCTCCAAAATGCCACGGCTCCGAATACATTTTCGCTAGCATCGACGAGTATGTATGGGCTCACCCAACCTGCAATGTAAGTAAATAAGTAACCTGCAATAGTGACGCAGAACTGTGTACTCTACAACCTTCATCAACTGCGTCCGGAAATTATTTCACATGTCGCTGGTTTTGCTAAGAATTTGCCGGTGATGATGGGTGACACAGGAATTCCAAGGGATCAAATATGGGCTTGACAATAATCAGTAGCATTCATTTTGTGGGCACTAAATCGCCACTCAAAACTGGCGAATCGATTGCATGTTAAATGGTCACTTGACGGTTGTCACTACATTCATAAGACTTTTCCTGATTGCATGGCTTTTTTGGAGATAATGGACAAGATTTTTCACCACCCAATGCGATGACGATTTTCAAGAAATTTGACCTGATCTTTGTGAATATCGCGAGCCTGTTTGGCTGTCTCTATAGCTCTCTTAGGGGAATGGAAACTATCGACATAATCATCCGTGTAGTGGTAGTCCGTTATAGCTTGGACTGCACGTGGATCGTGATTGTCGTGTTCATCGCATTCTTCACCTTAAAAAAAAAGTGCTGAGCTGGGAGAGCATGCTGCACTAAACGTCATCTCAAATACGTCAGACGTTCGTTGGCTATCGCCATTGCGCCACAGAAATCTCTGGGCACACCTAACTTCAGGACGGATTAAGAATCGATGAACATTTCCTGTATGTCCACACAGATGGCCTTCACGAAAGTGGAACAACATGTGCGATATTGCTTGGGTCTCTTCAGTAGTTGAGAATTCAGCGACACTCCGTAAGACGTTGCTGCAACGTCTAACACAAGTCTCAGCTTTTCTGGTTTATGCGGGTTTATCACAGCAAAATATAGAAGATACCATGGCCTGGAACCCACTTCTGCTACTTCTGCTGGTTGAAGCTTCCAGGCATACCTCTCACTTACGTAATCGTTTATGATTTTTACTCTTCATTACGTGCGATTTTCTTTTCGATATTACAAGGCATTTCAATGCCATAGAATAGATATCCGGTAGCTGAATGTTGTCGCTCCCCTACAATAATCCTGTTTGAAATCATTCATTCACCTTTACTGTGGTTGACACTCAAGCAGCTCTTAGCTCGTATGTCGGCTACACTTTCAATAGGTTGCAAGGCAAGCACACCGAAAAACTGCATGGTAAAATAGTTCTTTATCAGGTCATGCATCTGGCTCTGACATGAAATCCGGATAGCAGAACGGCTTAATGGCCCGAGTACACAACACCCAATTTGGTTATTCTGGCAAACGGCCCGTCACGATTGGCTAGTATCGGCTTGGTTGGCAAACCTAGATGACAATGGTCTAAGCCAATAAAAACCTTAGGTGCTGGTCTTTTAATTTGTGTTGATATCTGACGGGCTGAGGCTTTGCATATGTAGGTTTAAGTTGGCTACATCATCGACAATGCGAATCATATGACGCTTTTTCATTCCCAGACCACTGATAAAAAGATTGGTTACAGCTACTTGTTTTTGTGCTGCCTTTCCCCCGAACCACTGGATTTCTACTTGACGTACCTAACATTTAAGGCCAAGCTCCTGCACCAGGGAGTCGTCCATCATCGTAATTGAAGACTCTTCATCAGACTACAATCACGAGTGACATGCCCAGGCGATAGACAATTGAAACACAGGTGTAAACGTTTTGCCATTTTCCATCGATCCGAGACGTTGGCCTCAAACACGCGGCGACAATCTGCAACTCGATGCATCTAAACGAGCTTTGTTCTCCAGCTGCTTGTAGCACTGGACGACGTTTTACTTCGCGACCTGTTAGGTTTTTTGCAACTGTTGCAAACGATGGCAGCTTGTGAAATCCATGGTAAATCACGCACTACTTTAAGTTGACTGCGTATGAGCTGCTCTGGACGATAAAACCGAAAACGGAGCTGTTCAGTATCCAGTGATGGGTTGACAACTCGACCTAATGCGAACTGAACTAGGGAGTTCAAATGTTCTTTGAGGCGTTGGCTTCGTGTTTGGTGGAATCATAGGACGGCTATATTGTGCTGATATGGCTAGGTGGCCATGGAGGCATTGACAGAACTCTTATTTGCAGTCATAAGGGCATGTGGCAAAGCTGGTATGCCGCTGTTGGCAGACACATAAATATACGCCGGATGTATAGCGAACGTTACAGTCGACGTCGACTGTGGCGGTACGGTTACAAGGCTATGGCGTTCGCTTTCAGATATGTGGGCCTGAGCATATTTGAGTTGTTGTCGTAACATGTTTATTTGTTGCTGCATTATATAAAGCACGTGCATGTAAGACGGAGCTGAGGCATTTAGAGTGGCAGTTGGCATGATTGTTGTTATGGCGTTTGCAGGAGCGAGTTCACCACTGACGAGGCTGACGTTGGCAGAGGCGACGACTGAGGTGGAACTGCCTGAATTTATACTGGCATGTTTGAGATGTGAAATGAAATAGCTTACCTGGTGAGTCCGATCGGGCGTATCTGACTGCATACCGCTGGTTGGTGTAATAAATAAATTGAAGTATACAGGTCCGTTAGAATCAGAAAAAAACTATACTGTTCGCTCCAACTTACAACGGTGTTTCACTTAAGAATACTGTGTAAGGCGAAGCCGGTTTTTGTCCGGTACAGTTTTTTTTTAAATGCAGCCAAAGGCCTCCAACTTAAAAAGATGTTGAATAGCGTTCGGCCTAGGATTACTTTTTAAAATGCGGCAGAAGGCCTCCAACTTACAAAAGTGTTACAGTGAAAATTCATCGAATTGTGAATACATTTTTTAGTCATTCCTTGGTAATATACTTACTCTCCAAAGGAGTGGCAGCACAGTTTTTCTGGTTCTAAAGGATATATAAACTTCATTTTTCAATAAAGTAAGCAATCGTGCAATCGCATAATATTTTGCTAAAATTAATTAAATGGAATCGTTGTAAACGTTATTGGTCATTATTTAAAGCGATATTTAAGTGTTCTTAGAGCTTACTTTAGCCTTTATTTAGAAATATCAATTGGTCAAAATTTCAACTTCAACAACAATTACCAAAAATATAAATATTATGGCGCGCAAATTTACAGTTTAAAAGTTATTAACATCTAAAGTTATACTTTTAATTAACATAAGCAACCCTTCGCAAAGTAGCCACTCTGTCATTACTAGAAATAATAAAATTAAACACCAAATTATTTACGTTTGTATTTAATTGGTACCTAAAGAAGAAGTGGTTCATACACTACTCACAGTTTATAGGTTGCGTGTTGGCCTTCAGAGAACTCGTCAGTTATGAGATCATCAATACTGGAAGATGTTGGCAGATTTAGCCGCTTCAATTCCACTGGCGTAATCAAATTTTGTTGCTGTTGTGCTGTTAATATCATATCTGTTTGCCGGCGTTGCTGTTGATAGTGATGTTGCTGGTGGTATTCATTCTCTTGCAATTGCTGTAGCTGGTTTTGTTCGGATGTAAGATGAAGATATGAGATTAGTTGCTGCTGCTGTTGTTCATCCTGCCTTTGATCTATTTGCTGCTGTTCATCTACCAAGTTATGTTGAACGTGTTGTTCTTCGCAAGCTTGGTGTAACCGCAAAACGTCATGCAAGGAATTTAAATGATGGGCCGGGTGGGTATGTGTGTGCGGATGGTAATTGGGCATGGAAATTTGTAACACATTGTTTTGTTGTTGTTGATGATTATGTCGATTTTGCTCATGACTTATTGGCTGTTGCAACTCGTGTTGTTGAGGATCACGGATTTGTTGATGCTGCATTTGTTGGCACAATGGCTTCTGCATATACTGATGTACTTCCTGTCTCCGTTGATGCTGTAATGCCATATCCTTAAAATATATATCAAAAGCGCCCGCTGTTGGGCAAGCAACGGTAGACTGAGTGGATAAATATTTATCAGCTTGTGAATTTCTCAACTTCTGCTCCTCAGAATTTTGATGATCAGCATCTAGAGCATTCTCCGTCATATGCTGCTTATTCTCACTGGACAATTTCACCACCGTCCCCCAGTGTTTTGTAGCACAAGGCTGTTGGTACGGATGAGCATGGTTCGCTGCCGACTACGGTAATCTCGTGCAAATTTCTACTATAGCGTTGATAGCTCTCATTGGGGGTTGGTGCCCACGAATCTTCATTTCTGCTTAACTTCGCGTTGATTCTATCCGGATCATCGAACGTATTTGTCGAGGTTGACAAAGTTAAAGACAAATCTAGTGAGCTGTTCCCCTTGAAAGAACTTTGTGTAAGCACGATGGCGTTAGGCATATCTTTTTGGATTCCACAGTCATGAGAAACATTATTTACTGTTGTTTCCGCATCTAACCGTATTGGTACCGCTGTCTCATTCGTATTTTTTGTCAAAGCAGCTGATGAATTTGCCGTCCTAGCATTATTTGGAATCTCGTTATTAGTAACATTTGAGTTAACACAACCTTTGGTAATCGAAGTATTGATAGAAGTAGTAGTAGTAGTAGTAGTAGTAGTAGTAGTAGTAGTAGTAGTAGTGGTAGTAGTAGTAGTATTAATAGTAGTAGTAGTAGTAGTAGTAGTAGTATTAGTAGTAGTAGTAGTAGTAGTGGTAGTAGTAGTAGTAGTAGTAGTAGTAGTAGTAGTAGTAGTAGTAGTAGTAGTAGTAGTAGCAGTAGTAGTAGTAGTACTAGTAGTAGCAGCAGTGGTAGTATTAAAAGTAGTAGAAGTAAGAGCAGTAGCTGTAGTAAAAGTATAAGTTGTAGTATTACGTATATGAATGTCTGCAGCAGTTGCTATTATTCCGGCTAACAGGGAGCCTGCAATGCTGTATGTTTCCGTGGTCTTTAATAAAGAAGGTAGTTTGCCAGTCTTTTCCCACCTTTTTTTCACACTATGGCGATTCTTGTTCTTCACAAAAGGAGCCCTTGCAGGTCCTAGCAGAGCTACAGTCGATTTTTTTGTATACATCGCCAACGTGCTCTACCAACATTCCCGTTATTTTTCTGCTATGCTCAACTCTGCTAACATTTAAGTTGGTCTTAGACGCCTCTTGCCTTGAAACTGCATCTAAAATATTTTGATCAACAGCTGAACCTTCAGAATTAACATTGTTAATTGATTTATAACATATAGGAGCAGCCGAGTCTTTTTTCGCATCGTCAACATTTTCCTCGCGACTGTCATCTAAATATGCCATCTGTTGATTCTCGCATTTATTCATAATATGGAGCGGATTATAGTGTCTTTGCTCTTTATAACAGAGTTACTTTTTGAGTCGCCTGCTACCCGGTTGCTTAGCTGACTGTCGGTATAATCAGCACTACAGCGATTGTCTTGTAAATCACTAAGTCGCCAGTTACTGCCAACTTCAATATTTTTTTGTTGTTCTACTTTTTCATTAACGTACGAGTGTTCATTTTTGTCGTTTGATGCAATTATTAATGAGTCGTGTTCTTCTGATAATATCACCGGCAAATCATAGGTATGAATATGTGGCTCAATTCTCAAATTGGATGGGTCTGTTGAGTAAGATGTCTCAATTTTAGGCGTTTTTTTTCGGAAATAACTTTCTTGATTTGCAAGGTGCTCTGCTATTTTTCTTACTGAGTCGGACGGAGCATTATCTTCACAAATCTGTTTATTGTGTGCTTCTGACTTCGGAAGTGATGCATCCGGGAAGTTCGTAGTTCTGTCATCATCGGTACTTATTATACCCTGAAATCTTGTATTATGTCCATATGGCTTAACTTCGTTCATCATTTCTGTAAAGCGTTTGTTTGGTGCATATCCACGTTCCGATAATTTCAAGCTGCTACATTTGTCGATACAATTTCCTTTAACTCCATAGTTTATTTGGGACGACAAGATGTCTTCCTGCCGTAGTTTATCGTGATTGCGTTCTTCTTCCGTGGCACTGTTATCCTTCTCATAAGCGTTTATGAGAACATTTTCGCAATTATTGGGTTGGCGCTTCTCGAGGGTGGTGCCAAAACTGCAATCAGAGCTAGTAAGCTCAGTTTTTTTTGACATTCGTTTTTTTGAGCGGCTGAAACTTTTACTAACCCATGAACGTCTTTTATCCACTTTCGTTAGACCATCCTTCTTGACACTAACTAAAGATGTTTTTACCATATTCTTGGCGTGAGCTTTGGAAGCAATGTTGCTCCTGCTTCTGTTGGTATTAATTTCTGTTTGAATAGGAGCAAGCTCGATTTGTGACTTCCTTGATAATGAAGACGTTAAATCGATGACGCTTGCCAAGTGTGATAGGCGATCTTTTTCAGCAATCTGTTGCTGTTGTTGCTCGAGTTGCTGCTTCTGCTGTGTATGGCGTGTTGTACGAGTGCAGTCCTCGTAGCGTTTTATCTTGCGTTCACGGTCGCTTGTTTCCATTTTGCTATTGATGCTATTTTTGCTGGTTTCGTGGGGACTACAAATTTCACCTTCGAAGTCATTTTTAGTAAAAGTGGCACATAACATATGCTCACTATCTGCATCAAAACACTTAGCATATTCCGCTAATGAAGATTTCAGATTTCTGCTTCCTACCAATTGCAGACTTCCATCGTGTTGACTCATTTCGTTCTCGAGACCTAATTTTGGACTTTCCAGAAAATTTTTGTTTATAGTTGAACTAACTTTTGTTGCATTTGGTGAAGAGTACACACTAGATATTCTTTTCCTGTATTTAACATTTTTGTTTGTTTCAATGCTATTATCCGAATTAGTTCTTTCATTAATGTAACGTTTAGTTTCCTTGCGTTTCTTGTTTCTGCTATTGCCAGTTTTGTTTTTCTTTCTAAACTCGTTGAGAGCTCTAATTTCGGTCGTTTTTCTGAGTGTGTCTAATATTGCTATCGTCTCTCTAAACAGTGCTATAACTTGCATATTTCACCCCTTGATATGAATTATGCAATCAAGACAATGAGCAAAGTCGAAGGATATACTTTACTCCTTTGGCAATGAATCAAAATTTGTTCCGTTAAGCTGATGCATCAAAGTAACGGATTGCTTTCACCTAGCGAGAAGGATATATTTATTCAAATAAGTTTTGTAGGTTTTATATTTTAATAGCAGGTTTCTACTTTTCGAACTTCTAAAATTTTAATTTTATGTACTAATGTACTTATGTTCTTTCTAAGTATTGTCGCCCCTCATCAGACAATACTGACTCCATTTAATATTTCTCTGACATGAAAATAAACTTCTAGTACGTAAAAACTTTAATAAAAAAAATGTACATTAAAAACCAAAGAAGTCCCAAATAATTTATACTTCTGACTTAATGTTTGCGTTCTGATTTTGCTTCTGAACAAATGAGATCGGACGAGCATATCAAGTAGATGCTATGCAAGTAATATTTCAGATACGTGATTTATACCAACTAACGGTGCTCTTTGGAAAATACATGCAGAAAAATTATTCGAAATTGGGTCATATTTATATATATTTATTAGCTGTACCCTAAAACGCTGTCGCACATACTCATTGAATGTATGAAAAATTAACCATGGGATATCTTTTTATCATAACTTTATTTACACAATACTTTTGGGAATATAATATTTTTTGTCAACGGTCAACTTCTCGGAGAGAGGAATAATCCGACTTCTTCAATAGGCCAGTCCATGGTTCAGTTTCTGGAGAGAAGTGTAATATTGCTGTTAATCTAAGCAAAATGCACCTATTCCCCGAATTTCAAGTAAATCGAACCATAAAGAAAGATTTCTTCAGTCCCTTGCCCATAAGAGTTTTTTTTCGAATAGGTCAAACTCGGGCCCTCTACCCAAATTTTTTCTCTCGTAAGCCTTCCTAGAACAATGGAAACAACCTTACAAAATTTTAAGTCAATCGGTCGGCAACTTTTGTCCGCTGATTACTGTATTTTTCCAATCAGACATAAGATTTTTATATGAGGAAATAAGGTTAAGTATATTCACAAGCAAACGATAACTGTTCGAATAAACAAATCAGAAAGAAAAAGCATATTATAAAAGCATAGGTTTGATAAAACCAATTTAAAAAAAAAAAATTGTATAGAAAAAAGTAACTTTTTGAAACTTTCCAATTTTCCGACTATTCCCCCGAAAGTACAAGATATTATAAACTTTTCCAGATCTACAACGAACAACTTCTGAAAAATTCATCAAGATTGATCCAGACGTTCTTGAGCCGTGGGATCACTAACCAACAGACGTTTATTTTAATATATTAAGATATGTATGATATTGCTTATATATCAGCATATTTTGACTTACAATTGTGTATCCTTACTATGAAATTATTGTATTATTTTCGAATTGTTATATCTTTTAGTATTAATTAATATTACATTCCCTTTGTATTCCTCTTTTACAGCCAGGACGACATTTTCAAAATAAAATTCTGCTTTGTCTTCGTTGTTCGGTTACAGTGGTTTATAGGATATTGTTCATTTATTAGTCAAGTGTTCGGAACACATTGTATCTGTAATGANCATAGTTTACGACCGGCCGGCCAATTGCTTTGTAAGTAGCCAGCAAAGTTTCTTTATCTTTACCCCAGGTGCTGCCGGCTAGCGCTTTGAGTATTTTGTTGCGGCTCTGGAAATTTGCGGCAATTGCGGTCGTATGCGGAGTGAAGGAGTGCAGGCTGTCTAGAGTTACTCCCAATATTTTTGGGTTATATATTGTCGGAATTTTTTCGTCATCGACCTTTACATCCAGTTCAAGCCTGTATTCCTTCGTCCAGCTGGTGAAAAGGGTAGCCGAGGATTTTGTCGGTAGGATTCGTAATTGTCTTGCAGTGAAGAAGTGGGAGAGATCAGCGAGGTAGCCGTTTACTTTCGAGCAGAGGTCATCAATATCCTGGCCAGACGCCATTATCGTACAATCATAGGCATACTCCTTCTGGTGGTGGAGGGAGTTTCGATATATAAATATTAAACAGTAACGGGGAGAGGACACCACCCTGCGGAACCCCCTGTTTAATTTTTCAGGGTTTAGATGTTTTACCTCGGAATTTTACCGATGATTGTCGACCACTCAGGTAGCCCATGACCCACCTCTGCAACCCCGGGGGTTATGAGGATTCCTCAATGTCCGTTAGTAGCACTGAATGATTGACTGTGTCAAAAGCTTTTGACAAGTCCTGTGCTACTAGGACAGTTCGCGCGCAGGGTCGGTTTTGGTTGAGGCCATGGACTATCTGGGTGTTTATGGCGTTAAGTGCTGTTGTGGTGCTGTGCACTTTTCGGAAGTCATGCTGATGCGCTGCTGGACGCAGATGGTGAATGAAGGTCGGGAGCAGTAAAGCCTAAAGTGTCTTCGCTACTGGGGAGAGGAGAGTTATCGGCCGATAGTACTCTCCTTTGTTGGCTGGTTTCCCCGGTTTAAGTAGCGGGACCACCCTACCCATTTTCCACATGTCGGGTATCTTCAGGGTGGTCAAAGACAAATTGAGGAACCTCCTCCCGGGAGAAATCAAGCACCGCGCTGGTGTTTGGCAGTTTGCGCATACGGCGGGTCACACGTCGTTTCGCTTTGTCTACGGAAGGATGCAATGTAAAAAGACGGCTAAAATAGCTCGCGCATTTCTTCGGGTCCGACGAGGCGCGATCACCGAATGAAATTTCCACCCGGTCATCGCGTCTCGTCGGGTTAGACAGCGACTTGACTGTAGCCCAGAGCTTGGTTGCCCCAGAGGAGAGGTTGCAGGTCCTTAGGTGCTCCTCCCACTTTTTCCGCTTATGACTGTTAGCAACTCTTCGAATCTCCGCGTTTAAATCCCTGATAAGGGGATTCCCGGGATCGGAGCTTCGGAGGGTGTCGCGCCTGGTTGCTAGTACCGCCGCTTCTGTCGGAAAATTTGGGCGGATTTCCGCAATTCGGCCTGCCGGGATGAAGCGGGCGGCAGCGGTCACGACGACCCTGCGGAATGAGCGTTCACCAGCGGTGACGTTAGTTGGAGTGGGAAGAGCATTAAAGGCGTTCTCAGTAAATTCCATGAATCCGGGCCAGTTAGCTTTTTTAAAGTTGGGGAATGTCCGGAGCCCGCGGAAACAAAGTCGGGAGGCGTGTCAATCGAGATATGTATGGGCAAGTGGTCCGATGCTAACGTCAGTATAGGTCGCCAGACTATACTGTTTATCAGACCAGCACTCGCAATTGTTATGTCTGGCGAGCTTTGGCAATTACCCATAACTCTAACATAACTCTGGTAGGGGTGTTGTCGTTCATTGTGCAGAATGTCCAATCGTCTATATGTTCCGCCAGCTCCATTCCTCTACGGTCATTTGACAGGCTAGAATGCCAAAGATCGTGATGCGCCAAACGGTTTTCGCCCCTGAGTAGCGCACCTATGTCAGGGGTGTATCCAGCTGGGCAACTTGTAACTGGAGGAATGTATATATTAAATATTTCGAGCTCGACATCGCCTGACCGGATAGCTATGCCCTGACATTCTAGGGTAGTATCCCTGCGGTCGATGTCGCCATCGATGAGACGATACTGCACTGTGTTGTGCAGGATGAACGCTAAGCCCCCACCATGGTCTCGCTCGCGATCCTTGCGGATTATGTTGTATCCGGCCCTGTTCAGAAGATCTGATAGGGCGGTCAACTTGGTTACCTGGATCGCAGCAATTGATAGGTGCTCCCGGCTCATATAGTCGACTATCTCGTCAATCTTTCCCTGGAGTCCGTTGCAGTTGAATTGTAGAAGTCGGGTCTGTCTCGGGGGAACGTTCGTGATTCGAGGGGTGAGGGAGTGATGCGTGGATGGTGTGTGTCGCTGCTGTACTACCCGCGAGAGTTGGTTCCTCACATTGGTGTTGATTGGCGGAGGGTTTGTAGAGACATGCGGGGGCAGACTCCTACAGCATGGGGCAACGTACGCATCGCTCCACTCACGGGTGGTGCGCAGGCCAGAGCACGTCCGAAAGTGACACCAGCCAGCGCAGAAGTTGCATCTGACTGAGTTCACGTTCCGACGCACTATGGTCTGACACACGGAACAGACGGTGCGGGGGACTAGGAGCTGCTGGGTAGCCCTCGCACGGGAGGAGGATGAGGAGCTGGTTGTGGATGGAGGTGGAGGTTGAAAGGAATCATGCTGCGTGGAACTCCGTGAGACCGTGGAGGTCTGCAGATTACCCAGAGTGGGTATGTGTGCTGAAGGCACTGCCGTGGAGGCTGGGGGGGCGGTTGGACGCTGAAAGCATGGGGCCACATAACTCGTGGTCCATTCCCTGTGGGTCTTTAGGCCTGAGCAGGTCTTAAGATGACTCCAACCATTGCACTGGGTGCATCTAAACGAGGTGGATGAGTGGTGGAGTCTTCTTTGACACACGCAGCAGAAGTAATCCGTCGGTCCAGGGTTGGTTTCTACACCAGCCCTGATCAGAAGGATTTGGAGCAACCCAGCTGCGAGGTGTTGCTCCGTTGGCGAACTTAGACTAAGGTTACCTGTAGACCTAAACGGGGTTAGGTCGCCGAAAGGGTGACAGCCCTTGGCCGGATAAAATCCGGGTCAACTCCGGTGCGTAGAACCGGCTGTCGTGATAGTTGACAACCGTTAGCTGTATAGAGATGGTAGAGAAACTTTAAATGTTAAATTTAACCACGTAGTTTCACTCGGATTTTGAGTTCACTCACGAATTAAAAGAAACGTAGTTTACTAAATGCATTAACATTTGCTGAATAGTAGCCACGTCGACCAATTTACACTAGGAATCGTTATTAATGTTGAAAAATAGAATATGACTGTATAAAACACCAATGACACACACCCCGAGCTCTATCATAATTTGGAAGAGCTCTTTCGAACCGTTTAATACTGCTGATCTTTGATCATGGCGAGGTGCAGAACTCATTTTCAACGGCGAGTACCGAAACGATGGAATGATAATTTCTCTGAGATATACGTCGAACTAGACGTAGTTTAGAGAATTAAAAGAGCGGAATTCATCTGAGAGAAGAAATGGGTGGCGCCCAAGACACAGACTCGATTTTGACAGTTTAACTGCAACGGACTCCAGGGTAAGATCGACGAGATAGTCGACTACATGAGCCAGGAGCCCCTATTAATTGATGCGACCCAGGAAACTAATTTGACCGCCTGCTCAAATCTTTCAAGAGCGAGCGAGACATTCCTCCAGTTACAAGTTGACCGCTTGGTTTTAGGCGAATTGAGCTGGCGGAACCAAAGTTATAGGTAACTGCCAAATCTTGTCAGATATAACAATTATGAGTGCTGGTCCAATTAATAGTATAACCTGGCAACCAATACTGACACGAGGATCGGACTACTTAACCATACGAATATCGATTGACAAGTCTTCTGACTTTGGTTACGCGGATGACCTGAAGTTTGTTAACTTTAAAAAAGCTAACTAGTCCGGCTTCACGGAATTCACAGAGAACGCCTTCATTGCTCCCCCACTCCATCAGACGTCACCTCTGGTGAACGTTTATTCCGCTAATTTATTGTGAGCGCTACCGTCCGCTTCATCCAAGCAGGTCGAATTGTGGAAATCTTCCATAATTTCCCGACGGAAGCCGCGTTTTTAGTAACAATGCACGACATCATTCGTATTTAAGCCCGGAGATTCGCAGAATAGCTAACAACCATAAGCGAAGATAGCAGGAGGAGCACTTAAGGTCCTGTAATCTATCTTCTGGGACAACCCAGCTCTGGGCTACAGTCAAAACGCTGTCTAACCTGACGAGAACCGATGACTGAGTGGAAATTTCATTCGGTCACCGCGTCTCGTCAGATCCGAAGAGATGCGATAGCTATTTAGGTCAACTTTTCGTTTTAGGCAAACCGAAGCGACAAGTAACCCGCCGCCTGGGCAAAATGCCAAACACTAGAAGGCATGCTGATGCATATTCCAATTCTGCTACAAGAATTTTAAATTAAGCGCTTGTCGTTATCAGCTTTAATTTCTGTTATTATATTGCAAGATCGTCAGAAAAACTACTGAAGGTAAGAAACGACCGAAAAAGTTGGCAATAATGCTGACGATGCCGTTGAACAGTATACAAATGTTACCCTATCGTTATTTTAACAGACGATGGCGGTATTCAGCATTAGGCCGACTGGATCAGGAACCGAAGGATATGGTAGTGAAGGCAAGGTGAAATATCTCCTGTCAGCAAACAGTCATCGCATTCCCGACTCGGCTCCCGTGCCACTGTTGACAGTCATAACTTTGAAGTCGTACATAGTTTCAACTATTTAGGAACCAGCATCAACATCAATAATAATGTCAGCCTTGAAGTCTAGCGCAGAATCAAACAGGTGCACATTTGGACTGAGTAATAAATTGACAATGAGGTGATCTAGCCACCTATGTCCGTAACATATTGAATTCATGGAGGGAATACTTCTCCAGCCTCCTGAATGGCAGTGAAATTGGAGTATCCGTAGTTGGTGAACCCGAAATCCCAATCGATTACCATGGAAAAGACGTTCCATTATTTGAAC